TTTTTTTTTTTTTTTTTTTTTTTTTAAACACGGAAGCATCTAAATCTCAAGACAATGCCTAACTTGGGGCCTCCTCCCAGGTGGCTGCAGGGGAGGCTCACGGTTAGTCTGGTTTGGGCTGAAACCTCCAAAAGCTAAAACAGGTTGCAAACGTTCATTGCCAAAGTCCTCAGCGGGACTTCTCCAGGTTCCCAACCCGAAGGAGAAGTCAGACACAGCTGGTCAGGGACCAGTAACGATCCTCAGGCACGCTTGCTACTGGGTCTTTCTTTGCTCCGTCTCCCCTCATGGTGACCCGGCCACTGTCCTCTGCCTCGCCCACTGTCCCCTGCACACTGCTCACTGCTCACTGTCTGTGAACGCTGAGTTCTCACCTAGTGCAGTGCGACCTGAAATCCCACCACAACAGCCTAGCCTGTGCTCAAGGACCTCACTGCCCTTCTGCTCAGGAAATGCAGCGTCTCTGTCATTCTCCCCGACTAAGAGCTCACATTCGTGTGACTCCCCACATGGCATCTCTGGCCAGTGGTTTGCAAAAGTGTTTTAAACTGAATCCTTCTTTCCCCCACCTATGACAAGCCTCTGAAAACCTCATCAAAGCCACAAGAACTCGGCCTCTCCTTTGTCCTCCCCGCTTCCTGCTGTCGCATCTGTCCTCTGGAACCCCAGGCCTCATCAACCGTTAACCCCATTCTAGCCCCATCCTTCCCCAACACACACTTTTTACATAGGCTCCCATGTGGCCCCCACACCAGAAAGCCCTTGAAAATTAGCAGATCAAAAACAGAACTTTTTTTTCCAGAAACTGGCCTTATCATTTCTATAACTGGCATCTCCCTCTAAGAGAGTCACCACGACTCACGGCTTCCACTCCCACCACCTGCCCTGGCCCCCACGCCCCTGTCACCAAGACTCCTCTCTGCTCTGTCCCCTCCCTCCCATGCCCCCACTGCCCCATCCTTCTGGTGCAGTCAACCTTTGTATATGTGGTCTCTATTTTCCAAGGTATGGCACCCATGAAACATGTCAAAGCTCTCTCCCGCCTACTGAGCTGAGGGTGCATTGCTCACCTCAGCTCCCAAAGACCATTGATTCCGTGGCCAGAGCTCTCCGGGAGAGCTTCCCTGAGGGTACGTGAATCAGCCCAGAACAGGTCCTGCTCCTCAGTCAGCCCGTGTCTTCCATCCACCCCAGCCACCAGCATGACCATTTCCCTACGCTTTCATCTGTCTGTTCAGAATCCTCTCCCCTTCTTCCACTATGAACAATGTGCTGAAGTCCTATTCCTCCATCAGGGTCACTATCAATTGCATGAAGCTTTTATTAATCATCTTCCTTTCTGGCCATGACCCTCCCCTCATGGTCTCTTTCCTGGCCATGACCCTCCCTCCATGATCCTCCCTCCTGGCCATGACTCTCCCTCCACGATCCTCCTTCTTGGCCATGACCCTTCCCCCATGATCCTCCTTCCTGGCCATGACCCTCCCCCATGATCCTCCCTCCTGGCCATGACCCTCCCCACCATGATCCTTGCTGACCGGGCCGCCCCCCATGTGGTCCTCCTTCCTGGACATGACCCTCCCCCCATGATCCTCCTCCTGGCTGACCCTCCCCCCCGCGGTCCTCGCGTTCTCCCCATGGTCCTCTTTCCTGGACGCGTCCTCCCCATGGTCTCCTTCTTGACCATGACCCTCCTCCCATGGTCCTCCTTCCTGGACATGACTCTTCCCCCATGGTCTTCCTTCTTGACCATGACCCTCCCTCCATGGTCCTCTTTCCTGGACATGACCCTCCCCTCATGGTTCTCCTTCTTGACCATGACCCTCCCTCCATGTTCCTCCTTCCTGACCATGACCCTCCCCCCACGGTCCTCCTTCCTGGACATGACTCTTCCCCCATGGTCTTCCTTCTTGACCATGACCCTCCCCCCATGGTCCTCTTTCCTGGACATGACCTCTCCCAGCATTCTCCTTCTATATTGTCCTTATGATAACAGCTGAGTTTCACATTGAGACTTTGTAAATGTTCTCACATCCATGATGTTAACTAATGTCCACAAAACCCTGTGAGGCACACAACGAATGGAACCAAGGTCAAGTAACGTGACCAGCTGACAGCATCAACACGTGGCTGTGCACAGACACTCCCAGGTTGGGCCCCCAGCTTAGTGCACTTCCACTCTTAAACCGACCTAAATAGCTATCATTCTTCCTGCACCTGCAGCATGAGGCCTGGCGATGGTTACTGGTTCATCTATCATCTACACAACAGCAAGGTCCTAGAGGAAAGGGACACTTTGATCTTCCTTTTATCCCTCAAAGCACCTGACACAGGTAGAGATTCAATGGTGAGAACAGCAATCGTGGCTGTGCCCCCTTCTTCTCTGGACACGTCTCATGGGCCGAGTTGCTACGTGATTCGAAGTAGCCCATGCAAGGAGTGTTATGAACTTCGTGTGAAAAATGAGCTTTCGAAGTTCAGCGAGGCTGCTCGGGCAGCGGGTGAATGGGCTGTGTGGAGAGCCCCTGGCCACGCTGGACCCATGTTCTTGGCTCTGAGCACACTGACCCGGCCAACCCTGTCCACAGGCAGATCTCCTGGGTGCCCAGGAGGCTGCAAGACCACATCTAGGAAAAACTGCCAGGAGAGGAATTCATTTTTAAGAAGTCTATCAGAAAAAACTCCAGGGGCACCGGGGTGGCTGAGTCAGTAGAGTGTCCAACTTCTTGGTTCTGACGCAGGTCATGATCTCACAGTTTGTGAGTTCGAGCCCTATGTTGGGCTGACAGCACAGAGCCTGCTGGGGATTCTCTCTCTCCCTCTCTCTCTGCTCTTCCCCCACATGTGCTCTCTCTCTCTCAAAATATGTCAATAAACATGAAACAAAGAAAAAAACTCCAAAATATTTAAGAAACGTGAAGCCTACCAATGTTTTTGCTCTGTAAAAAATGAGCTACTTTTTCTTCCTTCTACTCTCAACTAATTTGCACCTGAGCCGACAACACCCGCATAGTTGTTCGTTAAGAGACAGCAAACGTTTGACTCTTACCAACAAATTTCTGAGGCATAGAGCTCTTACGTTTGGCGACGTTACTTGCTAGTCTGTCCAGCACGAGGGATCTCTCTGATCCTATCTTGCACAGATCTTCTGCCATCTCACTGTGATTAGCTTCTTCTTTAATGACTAAAGTCAAAGACAGTTAGAGAGGCCAGTTTAGAAAAGCTTACAATGAAAGGATTCGGTCGCATCCAGCATTAAATCTGACATTTGTTAAGCGCCTACAAGAGCCAGGCCCTTCGCAAGGATTATTGCTAATCTCCCTGGCAGCTCTTTCAGCCGGGACAGAGGCTGCCCACGGCCACCTGCTAATGACACCTGCCGACTGTACGTTATCTCCCGAGGCCAAAGGAACAAACACCATCCCTGTCACCAGAAGCTGGATGGGATTAAGCAACTGTGTCCCTCGGACGAGTCCTCTTAACTTTTCCAGTGCCCCCAAATCCACTAACTCAGTCAGTCCCGACACCAGCCTGCTGAGGATCAAAGCACTACCTGTCAGAGCTAGAAATGATCTGAGGTTCCTACGCCATCGACAGGCACCGCGAAGGGATGTGCAGAAGGAACGTGGCCGCCCAAGATGCTACAGCGAATCCGGGCAACATGGGGAGAGAACCCAGAGCTCCTGATCCCTGAACACACAGCAAACTCTGGGAAATCAAATAACACCTGCAAACTGTGGGAAAAGCTAGACCCTGTGGGGCTAAATGTTGATGGAGGGAGTATTCCTAGCCGACCTCCATTTTTTCCATTTCCATCTTTCTTTCCATGGTTGAAGAGACAACTTTGTCTCTTACAGAGTCTGCCTATATTCTAGTTTTTACAGTTGGGTTTTTGGGGATAGAACGTTCATGTCCCTGCAATGTATCGTAATATACGAAGACCTGAAAATGCCAATTAATTACATTCCAAACAGTTAACCAATCCCTCTGGCACCACTTCTGAATGGTCCGCTTAAATCCCACTGTCCTATTTCTCCCTCTCCTCCTTCCCCAGATATGACATGCTGATTTATCACAGGATCTACAGGATCTTCTGTTACTATTCTCGATTTCTAGCTCTTCTCCCAAAGAGCCCCACGTCATAGCTACATTTTAACACAGCACGACACATTACTTTTCCTTTTTCAACCATGCCAATTCTCTCACATACGTTTCCGGATACACTTCACAATATTCCAAATTTTATATTGGACCCACGCCTTGATTCGGGAAGATTCGTGCCCGCAGTGTCTGACCCTCCCCCTCTCCAGTGTTCCACGTTTGCTTTCTTGCCTCAGCACGGTGTGGTAGCTTCCTTCATTATGCCCTGCACATTACCTGCTAAGATGATTTCTAAGTATTTTATGTCTCCATTGCTATTATGAAGGCCACTCTGGAAGCCTATATTTCAAATTGGTTATTATCGCCGGTATATGTAATTTTTTAACATCAGAAATGCATGTTTCCTGCTCAATGAGCAAACATAGTAACCCACACCCTGACTGGTGTGAAGGATACACACAAAATCCACGAAGCCCAATTCCAGGGGGCGTGCACATCTGACCTATGGAGCCCACATGCTTGCCCACATGTCCGTCCTTCTCGGCCAAGCAGAGCACTGTGGGTGTCTTCCCTGACCAGGGCCACAGGGCCTCCTGAGACCCTCGGGGTCATCACAGTGAGGGACAAAGGAGTCCCAGACTCCCAGATCAGTGGCATTTCCCTGCAAGAGCTTGTAACACGATCTGTGTACCTGAATGATCATCTTCCAAATGCTCGAGAGAAACTTACTTCATCCCTAAAGGAAGTTGTGACAGATGACCAAGAAACCTTTAACTAAAGCGACATTCAGAAAAATTAAACTCTCCCACATCATAGCTGGGCTAGGCTTTGTTTTTACCTAATCCCAAAGAATGGCCCCAACCTAAGGGGATCGAAGAGGGAAGAGGGCGTCTGGGTGCCCACGGGAGCACCGAGGGGGCTGCTCTCCGGCTCTGTAGGGAGAATGGGGCTTGAAAGACACACAGAAGGCACAGGTTCGACCAGCCCTGGCACAGCGAAGTGACCAAGACCCCCCTGCCCACACCTCAGCAGCCCACTGCCTGCCCCCAGGATCCCAGATGTCATCTTGCAGGACTCTGACTGAAGTGCTTTTATGGATACCTTCCACCCCCGGGGCAGCGCTCACCACATGCCTGAAGCCTTCTTATCTCCTGAACACAGGGACATAAGGACCCATCGCTGCGGTATTCCAAATAATCTGATCACCCAAGGGAAGAAATTAGCATTTCAGGGCTGTGTTGACTCTGCCTATGGGGTAACGTACATATTGCTGACACACAGGCTCGCTGACATGGACAGCCCGTGGGTGACACGTGTCTGCATTCTCTGCCCTCATTTCTGCCAGGTTGGCCGGGCAGGAATTAGCACTCCTACTTGAGAGCCCAGGGTCGCATTCAAACCCAGGTACAGAGATGCAACTTGAGCCCAGGTCTCAGGGACCTCCAGGAGCAGCCCGCTGTGATCTCCCAGCGTGTTTCTTCGGTAATAAAATAGCGGAGAAAACCAATGCGCTCTGTCTGTGTCTCCTGTTCATTCTGTCTTCTCGACTCCATGTGTATGGCTCTAAAGGGACATTCAGATCACTGTATTCAAACAGGTCAGTACTGTAGATAATAAATTGTAGCAAATATCTGTTGGGTCGACAAATGGCTTATTTGAACATGGATCCGTCCATTCTGGAAACATACATTTCAAATTGGTTATGATGGCTGGATGTGAAATTTTTTTTTACATCAGAAATGGTGTTTTTCATTAAATGGGCAAACATAAGGGCTCACATCCAGGTTTACGTAAAGAATACGCACAAAATCCATAAAACCTATTGTCACCGGTCTCTCATTTGACCTACAGAGCCAGGATGCTTCTTCACGTGTCCCTCCTTCTCGGCAAAGCAGGGCACTGTGGCCCTTACTTCCAAGGCCCGTTAATTTATTTTTGGCAGGAAAATACAATGTCTAAACAAAGTTTAAATTTTATTCTAAAGGAGCGCCATCATCTCTGATGCCATCTTGGGGGTTGGCCACAAACTGGTGACTAGTACATGATTATTAGGATTTTCCTATCTAGTCTCACCTGCTCCAGTAACCCTCCATACCTTTCCTTTCTAGAAACAGACACCAGACTTGGAAGAGAGCTAAATGATAATTCAGTGGGATCGCCCCATTTTACAGGTGATAAGAGTAAGTCTCGCCCAGAGAGGTCAATGGTCAGCCCCCAGATCCACAGCTAATCGGTGAGGCAGGCAGTGCTAGAACCACAGAGGTGCTGCCACGTAAAACGTTGCCCCTTGATGCCCAAACTATCTGACTCTTGGGCCTCCGTTCATTTATTTTTTTAATTTTTTTTAAGTTTATTTATTTATTTTGAGAGAGAGTGAGCAGGGGAGGGGCAGAGAGAGAAGGAGAGAGAGACCCAAGCAGGCTCCACACTGTTAGTGCAGAGCCGGACACGGAGCTCGATCCCATGACCCTGGGATCATGAGCCTGAGCCGCAATCAAGAGTCAGATGCTTAACCGACTGAGCCACCCAGGTGTCCCAGAATTCCACTCTGACTGTTTGTCTCTCCTGTTCTCACCCGTCCTTAATCTGAATCTCTTGCCCATACCTCATGCCTCTCAACTCTCCATTTCACATGGTTAAGAGAATAAGTTTTGTCTTATGTGTTATTTCACCACAGTAGAAGTACGATAAGCGATCACACAAAATTTAAAATCACAAAAGCGACCTGAGTATTCCCTGGTGGATTTCCTTTATGAGCCATTCATTAAAGCCAGAAAGCTGAGTGAGATTTAACAAACTTTCGACCCTTAATTTCACTTCTGCTTCTGGGTCCCATGACGATTTTTCCAGCGGTGGCGTCAAATAAACCGCGTTTGTAAGGAGGTCGGCTTCCATTGACCTATTCAGACATTTCTTACGTTCTAAAAGGTTAGAAAGGTGCCTTTTATGACAGCGCTGTCCCTTGGAGTAAATTCAGCCTCCTTCGACACCAGCGTGAGCGTCCTTCACTTTACATTTTCTAAGATCGGAGTCAAGTGCCACAGGGTGATGTGGTGCCTCGGGCACCAAGGCTCATAAGAAAAAAGCAGCCTTTCCTCCAATCCTGTGTTAGCCGCAACCCTCTCGACTGTCAGGGTTTTGCCAAGGAGCTCACTCGTTCCAGACAGGTGCCGAAACGGATGAACGAAAACCCAGCCTGAAAGCTTTCATTCGATCAACTTCATGAAAAGAAGAGTTTTTAAGACAAGATTTCACATCTTATTTTGAGGACTAAGCACAAAGAAGCAATCGATACTCCTGGTTTAGTTAAAAAAAAAATTCCCCGAACCAAGAACCGCCCGCCCCCCAACCCCCGGCAAAGTTTCTGGGGTCACTATTCTCTCAGACACTTCCCCAGCTTTCAAGAGGGAGGGGTTCAAGGTCAGGCTCTCTCTGGTGAGATGAGGGCTTCAAAAGTGGGGAAGCACGGAGTGCTTCTGCCAAAAACGTCCCTTGGTCGGGGCGGTGGCGGCTCGCACGCCTGGGTTGTGCACCCGGCGCTGTGTGCCCGGGGCCCTTCTTCGCTGCGTGCCGGGAGGGTGAGCCAGCGCTTACCTGGGTACAGCGTGCCTGGAAGGCCCATGCTTTGCAAGTAGTTGTGGCAACGCTCTTTATGTTCCTCTAAAGAGCTTCGCTGTTTATAGCTTCGGCCACAATATCCACATTTGTGAGGTTTACCAACTGCAGAAAACACAATCGAGTTCAAGACCCCAATTAAATACTGGCCTTGGTGTGATGGGAATTCATGCAATACAATCATTACCGAAAAAGGCAAAGAACCCCTCCCCTCTTGAGAGCTAAAGTGGACTCAGTCAAAATCGCCGAATTTAAAAATAGGAATGCCCAGGGGTTTTGCTGAATGTACCAAGAACTCGTGTGACTCTGGTTTCACCTTAATTTGCCCACTGTCCTAACTCCCAAATTCTCTTCTACTGAAATCACTGTTCTTTAACTGGAGGAAATGGGCCATCACCGTGTGATCGCATGGGCACCACGTGGGCGGAGACGTGAGGGATGTCCCCAGTTGCCTGGAGGATACACAGACGCCCCTCTAAAGTCAGACTCATCCATGTCTACGCTGCGGGCCAGGTCTGGCAAGACACTGGTGACAGATCTAAATGCACCCAAAGTGGATTCAGTTCCAGGATGCTAAACTGGATAACTTGAGGTCTCGAAGATACCACAGCGGATAGTGATGTGTTAATGAAATGAGCATTTGTTTCCAAAATGTATTTTCCTGTTCTAGCTTCAAAAAGCTCTGTGTTCTCCCCAAAAGCTTAAGGATGGCGTGGTCTCTGGATCAGCCCTGACCAACAAAACTCATTATGACGATGGATGTGTTCTTCATCTGTGCCGTCCAATGCGATAGTCATTGTACTGTTCAATATGGCGGCCACCCGTGAACCACTGAGCATGCAGAGTCTGGCTACAGTCACCGAGGACTGAAGTTTTGATTTCGTTCAAGTTTAATTGATGAAACTTAAATTTAAATGCCACATATGGCTAGTGGCCACTGCTTTAGGCAGTGCAGTATCTATAATGAGGTTAGTTCCTCCCAAACTTTATGGAGCGGTATTTTAGGGAAAGAAGACTCACGCCAACAAACTCATATCATGCCCAAGCTTAATGACTTTCATAGACAGCGTTTTAAGAGATGAGATAAGTAAAGTATCTTTATTTACGTAAGGAATATAAATTTCCATCCGAAGACCAGAATCTTCTCCTACTTCCTTCTCATGTTGTTAGATTTCACATATCTGAATGTATTATATAAAAATCAATACCATCCAAATCGGAATGCTTGGTAAAATGGTTCAACCAAAGCTTGTACTGGTTCCATCTCTTCCTTAGGTGAACAGAAGCAATGGTTAGAGAAGACTAAGACGAAATGTAAAATTTGACCTTTGGAGCATTTCACAGAGGAAGAAAGGGATCCATCCCTACCTGTAGAAAGCATCGCGTCCCTAACACCGGGGAAGTAACCTGGAAATGCACAGTGTTGCCTAAAATACACCTTGTAGCACAGCCCAAGATTCTGAAGGGAAGAAAGTCTCTAGCTTGGCTTGTGACTTCCAAAGAAGGCGGTGAGGAAGGAAGGGCCTCCTCTACCCTGCCAGACCGCCCCACCCTGTATCAATCTGGGACAAAGCTATAGTCACATCTCGCCACTGATGTGTCGTTGGCCTTTGGAACCTCAAGCCACCACCAGCTGCCAGAGAAAACTGTGAGATGGATCACGGTTTCAGTGGAGTTGGGAGGGAGGCAGTGGGCCACTTCACAATGGAATAGAATGTGGCCCCATTTGGGTTTGCAGATGAAGAACGAAGTCTTCATTTTATTCTAGTGAAGTCCTCTTATGGAGCCTCCATCAGCGTCTTTTCTGAGAGCTGTGTGGCTCCCTCAGGTGGCGGAGTCACCAGCAGCCCTGGGTCAATGGTATCGTATTACCTACTTGCTCATCAGCGCATCCGTGATAGAAACAAGCTGTCCAAAGTCTACCACACTCCTGCATAATTACTCAAGTAACTGGCCGTGCTTAGAGCAGGGGACCGTCATGCCTCGAAGGACGTCAGCGGGCATGGAACCAGAGTGGCCTAAAGTACTGCATTGGATGCTCCAGACTTCACAGTAGGAAGGAAAGAAAAGAGAGAGGCATCACTTCAAGGTTCAAGGACTGCCGTGCAGGCGAGACTTCGGCTGCCAATCAGAGTAACTGGGGATTATGAGGACACGGCTGGCGTCGCCTGAGGATGAGTCTTGGTGTCTTCCGCCTACGTGGGGTCGTGGTTCCTACCGCTTCAGTGGGGTACTGTTGGCAACCGTGCTGATGTCCACTTGACCTGCACGGATGACGGATGCGAAGTGCCTCTGCCCTAGACCACCCAGACGGTCTGCTCATCACATCCGAAACCTTATCATTTCCCTGCACACCTTCCCTTCTTGGTGGGGGGGGGGGGG